GAATGAAATCGTCAATGAATACGATTATGCGGGGTCACAGCGGTCGATAATGGAGTTGTGGATGCCGAGTTACTGGAAATGAAAAAAGAAGCAAAGAAAACTGTCGATGAAACCCTAAACAAGGACCCCCTTGAAATAAGGAAGGGCGGGGCCAGGCGAGTTGTACGAACTTCCCTGCCCGGCTCTGTTATCCGATTTAGCCACTACGCAGTGATCGTTGTGTGCGCTACGTAACTCGTCCAAATGGTAAGATTAGCCACCGGATGTTGACTCTGTAGGACCCTACCGTCATTGTCGCGCTCTTTCGAGCCGCGCCAACGGGACTCGTAGCTATTCCATCCCACCCACTGAATAGTTTGTTCGACACGACTTCAGCTGGGGGTGTTGCTAACATATTCATAAACGACGTGGCTTACAGAATGACCGAATATGCTTTAGTTTGGCAAAGGTTTTCCAAGCTTTACAAAAATGGCTGTTCAGTTCCTTTTTTCTTCCCAGTACAGAAACAGGTAGATAAAAAAGTAGTCAAAGTAAATGCAAACCTATTTGTAGCAAGGCATTGTTTTCACTAAACAACCATGCCCAAAATAATTCTGAAGCCACTACAGCGGGAGTGAGTAAAATTTGCCTTTTCATTCCCATGTCACACCATATTGGTCAAACTTCTACTGCTGTAACGATAATCGATAATTTAGACACATTTTGAATTGCTGAAAACATTTTGTCGCATCCGAGTTTTGCATATTTAAAGCTCAAAATCCACAGATTTGAGTGAGGCGGCGGCGCTCGCAGAATCGCTCTGGTCCCACGCGGCCAAAAAAGCCAAAACGCGCAATGTCGTCAACGTTTCGAAGTAGTAGCAAATGTTTAAGTGAAATGATGGAAAGGGGTGCTGCACCCAAATGGTTCCAAATTTTATCAAACGGCGTCCACTGAAGCCAGCGCCGAAAACGGATGCAATATTGTTGTAAGAGGGTTTGTAGTTGTGATATTTCAAAAATGACAGTTTTCCTCGTCTCCCTGCAGCTTTCGCCAAAAGTCTCAAACTACTGGTATTTTCCATTCATTTTCCATTTCCACTTTCCAACGGAGGAGAGTCCAAGTTCAGTTTAAGTTCTCTTTGAATGTGTTATCAACCGCCTAATTAGTTCTTTTCAAGGAACCTCTAATCAAGAAAGGGAAGACTAAGGTTAGAGAAACATGTTTTCTATATTATGTACTCATTTACTCAAATACTTGCTTTTGAGGATTCATCAACCACGAGCACAAAGTCCCAGGTTGGGATATTTCACTTACTATTAGGTCGCTATTTGCCTCCTTATTTTTTCTTTACTAACTCTCTTTATTGTTTAATTGTTTTCAAGGACACTGGAAGATGCGAGGAGAAAGCCAAGGTAAGAACCTCAAATTTTTATCAAATATTCACTTGCAAATAATTTTGTTTTGAGGGATCTACAACTAGCGAAGAAAGCCTTGAGGTTAGATCTATGTTTTCACTGGTTCCTTATTCGATATACTTTCCTTTTATTCCGATTTTATGAACATCTTCTTTCCTATGATCAACTAGCTGCTAGGATGAGATGAGATGTTCCCCACACTTTCTTTCATTCAATTATTTTTCACTCTAAAGCACAATAGTTCCTGAAAAACCTCGTTTACGCGGATAATGTTTCCCGCACACTCAATTTTAGACACAGGCGCACCGGGGTGACATCTTTACGAATTCAACTTTGTCACCTTGAGTGTTGAAAACAGAGAGCGTTGGATTGCAGCAATAGCGTTTCAAAGTTACTTAGTTATAGTTATTGCAAGAGTGGCGAAGAGTTTGGTTTCCGGCGCTCACGGTGTTGAGCGGGAGGGGGGGGGGGAATATTGCAAAACAAGGCCTTTAGAACTCGCTATGAGATGACACTGGGACTAAGCCCAAGAGAGAGGGAAAAGCTAGGGAGAACAAAAATTGCTCACATTCTGCCCCAGAATCCCACTTCTTAAGGATAGTCCCAAGTACTGTGACTGGTTCACTCACTTGAATGTCATCAACGATATATGAGCCTGCTCCCGCCTTTTTTTCTTCAACCAACTCACATTTTAATTTCGAAATGAAACTTCTTTCACTGCTATCGCCTTCGAATTTTCTACCTCTTTTTTTTATCATCATTTCAATGCTGCATGTGGCCAGCAACTGTCCTCAACCGCTAATGCACTGAATGGCAATGCCTGGCTGCCAATTTGCTCTTCATCTTATTCTTTTCTTATTTATCTCCTTTTGTTATTTTACATGCTCCCTGCCTTGTCACTTCTATTCAAATGTTTGAGCTGGCGTAGATGCTAGCGCTTCTATGGATAGTTTGGTCAACGGAGGTATTGGTTGGGTAATTCTGAAGTTTCGTACATTCATCGAGGGTGAAAGTGGAGCTCAACCATATCTCTCATAAGATTATTGGGACCAATATGTGTTTTATAATCACAGAAGTACTGGGAAATACGGGAAAGTGAAAGTCGAGGTGTAAAGTGGGGCACCAGTGAAAAAAAAGGAAATGTAAAGTCGAAAAAAATTTATATCAGAGATAACCAACCTTTCGGGCTGGAGAGCCTAAAACAACGAACCATAGCATGCCGCCGCAAAATCACGATGAGAGAGAGTTAGGCCGATGTCAGACTTTGCGAATCGCGCGATTCGCTAGCGTCTGCGGTCGCGTCGCGGCCAGTGAATCACTCAATTGGCTGGTACCGCAACGCGACCGCGGACGCTAGCGAATCGCGCGATTCGCAAAGTCTGACATCGGCCTAAGGGATGTGCGTTACGCAGTCACCCGTCGTGTAGGTTGTTGTATCGAGAACAAGAGCTGCAGCTACTCAAAGCGGAATAACAAGCCGTTGGCGCACTTGGCAGGCGTTTTCAAGCCACGGAAACCGCAAATATTGTCGCTTTGTGAACAGCTTCTAGGGGACGAAGAGATTAGTCCATCTGGCATAGTCGTTCATGGTGCCGTTAGGAAACACCCAAGCCAAACAGTCAAAAGGTATACTGTTTCAGGAGCGAAGAAGGAGCGAACCGTTACAGCTTCCCAACAAATTCCTTGTTGTTGATTGCTCTGGTTTTGTTTACATTGATATGATGGGTGTAAATTGCCTGAAAGAGGTACAGGAAAAGCTTCTTTCTCTCAGGACTGTAACACGGCTTTTTCGATTCTCAAAATTATGTTGTTTTTTCAGGTCTATATAGATTTGCAGAAGAAATCGATTCGAGTGTTATTTGCTGCAGCGAAAGGTGTGTAAGTGATCACATTCTGATGGATGGACTGATAAATTAGCTTAGATGGATTCATGCCTTTCCAGCACCTTTGCGAGAGCTCTTCAATGTGAGCGGCTTCTATGAAACTGTGAGCAAGACCAACTTTTACCCTACTATACATGACGCCATGTTATTTGCGCTTTATAGACGGTGAGTTTATAGGAATTCTTGAAAGAGGATATCACGATAAGGTCGAAGAAGGGGAAACCTACCCAGAAAAGACTGACAGACCCCTCATGGTGATCATCCACGCGCAATTCTTAGCGAAGAGTATGTCCCCGACGATCTAGAATGGCCATTCCTGCGCCCCTATCGACGCGGCACGCCCACCGGCCGGCTAGCTACTCCCAGCATGTCTCTAGCCGTTCAGCAACGGAAACTTTAGCGTTGAATGCCATGAGAAGTACTCCTACCGGGGCTCATCCAGCAAGTAGTCGGTTCA